TATCCTTGTGATTTTAAGGAGATACGGGTCAAAGAAGAGGAAAATTTCCTTTGAAAAGGCAATCCCCTTGGGTTGGAAAGATTCCTCATAGGTGCGAGGATTTTCTTTCCCCTCTTCTATGGTTTCCTATTCCATTTAGATTATGATACATGTATTATCATGCCCTTGGCTGAACGAGCTTGTTATCCTCCTTTTATGGGCTTCCGTCTTTGGCCCAAACCTTTCTTCTTCACGAATCCATCCTTTAACATAAATTTAAAAGTTTTCCTTGAATTTATTAGCCCATGATTTAGTGATACTCCATCCACAAAACCTAAGTGCACCTTAAAGTGGACTCATCATAAACTTATCTCCACATGGACTTTTTTTTGCTTGAATCAGATCTTTTATCTCACTTAAAGGAACCAAACTGTGACCTGTTAAGCTTGAAGGGTCTAAGTTGTGATCACCTAGGCTTGATTGGTTTCTTGAATAGTCCTAGTCGTTCGTGCTCACATTGTGAATGAAGTAAACTTGATCCAAATGCAAAAAAAATGCATTTTTTATTGGCTATGATTTTCGCATAAAATGATGGAGATGCATGGATCCACAAATAAAAAAGATTTTTATTTCTCGCGATATTATGTTAATGCAAATGTTGACATCAACATAATTGATCTTATACCTTTTTTTATTGATGTGGCATCAAGTGAAAGGAGAAATAATATTTCTACTTGAAGGGACAAGACTTGACAAAGAGAGACTACTGAGGCTATGATTCAGAAGTTCTCTAGGTAAAAAAGACAACCTAAATATTTAGCCAACTATGAAGTGCAATTGATCAGCTTTGTTTTGTCTTATTTTGTTACGGCAGATTTTTGTGAAAAAAAGCCAAAATCTTATATAGAAGCTACAGGTTTCCTTCAACAGGAAGAAGCAATGAAGGAAAAAAATATCAATATTAAATAAGAATTGTGTATGAGAGCTGGTTATGAAGCCAAAAGATGTTGAATTAGTTACCTATAAATGGGCTTACAAGTTGAAAAAAAAAGTCTTACGACGGTATTAACAGATACAAATCTCATATGTTTGTTTGTAGTTTTTCTTAACAATATGGCTTATATTATGAAGATACTTTTAGCTCAGTTGCTAAAATCATGGCGATTCGAACACTCATTTCTTTGGTGGCATGTCATGACTAGAAATTGTGGCAACTAGACATGGAAAGTGTATTTCTTTATGGGGAGTTAGATTGTGATATCTTTATGGAACAACCACAAGGGTTTATCTCCAATGAATTTTCAGGTCATGTGTGCCTACTCAAGAATGCATTATATGGTCTAAAGCAAACCCCTCGTATTTGGTTTGATAAGATTGTTCAATATCTTGATTTTTATGGTTTTAAGTCTTCTCATGCATATTCGAGCTTATTTATTAAGAAGATTTCTATAATGTGTACAATGTTGCTTCTTTATTTGGACGATATGATCATTATTGGTGACAATAGTAGTAAAATAAATTATCTTCAAGTTGACTTACCCATATATTTTGAAATGAAAGGCTTGGTTGAAGCTATTTTTTCTTCTTCGATTGAAAGTTGAAAATTTAAATGGTTATTTTATTTATCAGAAAAGGTATACAGTAAGTTTATTAGATTGTTTTCGTATGAGGGAGTCAAAAGCTATGACTACTCCTGTGGATCTTAAAGTGAAGTTAACCCAAAAATAAGAAAAATTACTAGAAGATGCAATATTTTTTTAATAGTTTGTTGGTACCTTATTCTATTTAACTATTATAAGACTAGATATCGCATATTTTATTGGGAGTCATATATCAATTTATGAACAATCCATGTGAGGGATATTCTAGTGCTGCAAAGAGGAGTCTTTGTTACGTCAAAAGCACTCAAGATTTTAACTTGATGTACAAACAACATGTCTCATTCCTTTTGAGTGATTTTGTTAACGCATATTAGGTTGGTGATGTGAATAATAGTCATTCTATAACGGGATACATTTTTTAATACAGGTTCAGTAGTAATCTCATGATACAATAAGAAGCACACAACTATGGTTCTTTCAATATGTGAAGCTAAGTACGTGGTAGTCACTATAGTCGCTCAAGTGTCTTTAGCTTAAAGGCTTACTCAAGAACTAGTTTTTGATTTCAACTATTTAGTTTCTATTTATTGTGATAATAAAAGAGTTATTAAGCTTGTAAAAGATCATGTTTTTCATGCACGCACAAAGGACATAGAGCTTTACTACCATTTTATAAGTGAAAATGTGTTAACTCAAGATATTGACCGATGGAAGATATGAACTAAAAAACTAGTCATCATCACAAAAGCACTTTGTAGAGCTAAATTTAAGGTATTTTGTTGTGCTCTTAGTATTAACTTTAAGCTTGCACTAAAGGAGAGTGTCGCAAATTAATGCAACTTATATATCACACTTACTAAAAATATGCAGACAAAATCAAGAATTTGTTTCTCTTAGCTTTCCGTTTGTTTACAAATTTGTTCGGTTTTTACCTCCCTTTAAGGAGTTTGTTGAGATAATGACAGTTGTATGTTGGTGCCCCTGTAAACAAGTACAGATTCTTTAGAAATCTTTTTAGCATTTAATCTTTTATTGCTAGCACTTTTATGTATAAAATGTTCTACGTTATTTATTAAGTAATAAACTTTTTGTTTTAGTTTTATTTATTATTTTTAATATACTTCAATGTTTGAGTTTTGTTACGTATATTTCTGTTTTAATTCTGCTCTCTAAAACTTGTTTATGATTATTTTTATGTTAATTTTACATTTTTCATAAAAAAAAAATCTAAAATGGGTTATTAGTACTTTTACTAAAATACATAAGCATACGAGACAACCAATATTTATAAATTTTTTTTATATTTAATGATATATCATAAGGATATATTCATTCAAAGTTGTTCTCTAAATATTTTGATTTAACATAACTATATAAAAAATTATATAGATAAATTCAGAAAAAGTATTTTACTTTTCATATATTTTATAAAAATTTATGAACTTTCAATTATTTTTTAATAATTTGTTCAAATATTGAGGTAAGAGAAACTTATAATTCATCTTAATTTGTTTGTATGTTTCATGAGATGTAAATTATATCAAAATAATAAATAATAATAATTTCTTTGTTTTTAATTAATATAACAACCAGGATATAATTTTTGTCAAATAATTTAATTATTTATATATTTCTCAAAAGAAAAAGAATTATCTATACATACCTTTTAAATAAATTAATATACATATATGCAAGAGTAAAATGTTAAATTTTCACCAAAATTTATTTTTTAATAATACTTATCCATTAAGCAAAAGAAAATCAAATTAGGGTTTTAAATTTTACATTTTTTGGTTATAGAAATTGGAGGGTCTGTAAACAGTCCATTGAGAATCCATTTAGCCACCAACTGATTTGCTGCCTGAGAATAATGAGCACCATCCCAACTAATAAACAAAATCAGGATTCCTGCATGTTTCATTCACCATCTCCTTTCCCTCCCCCCAGCACTCCACACCTTCTTTTCCACAGCAATATCCGAATGGATCATCAAATCCTGTAAATACTTACGATTCCCATAAATTAATTACTCAAAAATTCTATAATTTCTCAAATTTTATACGTACATACATACCATATTCCTTTGCTTCAGAAATTAAAGAATATTTAGCTGAAGTAAAATATCAACATAAGTAAGATGTGCATCAGACAACTGCGTCCTGAGTTGATAAACTTTCTCCCTCAACTGCTTGTTAAATTCTCGGACAACTTCATTATGGGATTTTATGCAACCATTTACGTCCAAATTTAATGAAGGATAATATAAGATATTGTATGGCCTGCAACCAACAGGAGGGGTATTATGCACCCAAAATTCTCTTGCTCCATTTTTTGTGTATAGTTTCTGCATGTGTCATTAACAACTATATAAATTAATTAATTGGATTATTTTGGGAATGGACGATACTGATTGCTCTTCTGTCATTGATAGAAAACCAGCACTGATATCCAATATGTATAGTGCCTTTGAGAAGTCCTCTGGCCTCGGAAGACTGTTTTTCTCAAACTGAACTCACACCTATAATAGTTTAATGTTTCATCATACCACGTTATCTTACGAGTTCAATTCTAAAACGGTTCATCGTTGAAAAGCTAAAATAAAATAACCTTGATTATATGTAGTCCTTTTCCACCTCCCATTCATCCCCTCCGCCGACACAATGCTTTTTATCATGCTCGATCGACTGGCCATGGAGCATGTGAATGTGGCGGAGATGGAGGATAAATATGTGCAGAAATAAATTAAAATGTTTAAAAAATGTTGGCTGTTTTGCAGAAGCAGAATAATATATGTATTTATTAAAGCCCCCAAAAAGTAAATGGTAAAAAGGCCCACCTGGCACCCTCAATATTTTTCATTAATTTTTACTCTTGCACTCAGCATCAAAATCATTTCTAACCTTCTTTTTTTACTTTCTCGTAAAAATTTATATCCTTTTAAATTTACATTTTTGTTTTTCCAGTTTCTCTTAGCTAGTTGTTCTTTGTGTCACATTTTCAATCTTAAAATATAATAATTAATTTAAAATTTTTACAAAGTTAAAAGATTTTATGTATCTCGGTTCACTCATTTTTATTAATTTACGAAATAACTAATAAACTAAACGTTTGATCATTTACTACTCTTTGTAACTATTCTCTCTTATGGTTAAACCACCATTTCCCACCAAAATCAAATCTACCAAGCACCGAGCAACCATACAGTTTTATATTATTTGTTTAAATGAAAAAGTTTATATTATTTCGGCTCCACTGATTCTTCTGTTTAAAAATTATCTTATCCTCAAAAAAATAAAACTAACATTTCTAAATAAATTCCACCAGTACAATCACAATCACATAAACAGCTAACACAAACTAGCTCAGACGTCGGAAAACTGATTTTCCAACATTATTATCACATGGCAATCTGCCATTAAATGGTCAAAGATTGAAACTTTAGTTCGATTATCAACAGAGGTTCATCCTCATAATAATCAGAAAGTGTCAAAAACTAGCTAGTCCGCTATCTTTATAAAATTTGTCCTACCAACAGTACAGGCCTCCTTGCCTCAAAACAGACTTTAAAAAAGGGAGAGGGGAAAAAATTACTCCAGTTTTACATGGTTTCAAGATGGGACAATAGATTAACGCAATAGTTCGCAAGACACTCAAATCCGTGCTCCACTTCCCAGAGCCAAAATAAGAGAACTAAAATCATTAACAAAGAAAAAGACAAAATATTATTTGATTCTGTTCATCAAAAGGCTGAGAGGAGAACAAAATGAATCCACACCAGCAGCCATTCACCATCTTTCTCGCGACCTTGACCTGCAAAATTACAAGAATACTGATAACCATCAACAGATCCAAAGAGGAATTTACATGTCACGTGACTCAAATGGAGATCAAACATTGTCACAAATATTATGGAAAAGCAAAACAAGTGCACAAGTTAATTAGACAACCAACAAATATCTCTCAAAACAAAAAAAAAAAAAGAAAACAAATATCTTTCATATAGACAAAACCAAGCAAGAGATCATCCATCCAGCTGCCAAAATGAAAAACAGAAACTTCTATGTTTGAACATTTCAACATAAACAGGTAAATGAACATCATTCCATCCCATTTTACCAACTCACTGGATGTCTATGCTTTGAACTCAGGATTCAATAGGAAAATCCAAATTTCAGTAACAAGCAGTTTCAAAGTATCTCACGGACTGCATGTTACAAACTTACAATCAGCAGCAAAAATGTCCATGTAAAGATTACTATCATTTCATTTTTTTTAAACAGAGAAAATATTCATTAAACAAGGAACAGTGGGGTATCACCCAATTACAAAAGAAGAGAGTATTCTCTTAAGGTCAATCAGGTCCCCTAGATCCTCCTCCATGAGAGATGGCCCTTGAACCAAAAACATAAGGTCATGCCCCTCACACTAAAAGGAAAAACCAAAAGTCTCAAAAGCTTGCATTTTTCTGTCCTTCCATACCTCATGAGGTATAAGGTAGCCAAGGGGAAAGTAACATAAAATTTTTTCTTTAATCAAGTTGGATACCTTGCCAAGCCTAAGGCTCATCCAAAAATGACCAAGTAGAAACCAGTGACAAATTGAGGAAGGCAAGGGCATGCTCAAAATTGCGGAAGATACTATTTTTCTCATTATTTTTATAGCCAAAGAAAGAAAACTATGATGCAATTCTAGGATACAAGATGGACCTCCTAAAGCTACAGAATTCGCTAAACTTATTTCCAACAGAAGATAATTCTCAATAAAATTCTCATGTCTTTTTCTTTTTTACATAACAACTCATTAGTAAATGTCAAAACAGGCAACTTTTTACCAAAAATATACCTGTCTAAGTCCCTATTGCCAAGAAATCCCCGTTCCCTGCCACCCTGAAAGGCTCTTCTATCATCAGCAGGCCTTCTCCACCCATCAGCCATGCCACGCGATCTAGGTCTATCCACTAACTCTGCACTTCTCGATTCATCAATTGACCCAGATTGAGAAGGTGGTCTGTCAGAGTAACCAGCAACCCTCCCTGCTCCAGAACCAGGCCTTTCAGTGGCTTTCTGACCAAACCTAACTTTGTCATTCAAGTCATTGATTAACATTTCCAGAGCCTTCTCTTTCTCAAGTATTATATCATGTAAACTAGACTGTTCCCCACCAGATCCTTGCAGAGATTCCTTACTTATCGGAGGTTCTTTCTCAAGTTCTTTTCTTAACCGATTGATTTCTTCTTTCAACATCTTTTCCTCCTCTGTTTCAAGCCTGAAAAAACATCAAGAGTTTGAATGTTAGACATGCAGAAAACTACCAGTGTTATGCATAACAAAAGCCTCAAGCCACATATCAACATAAGACCAGCCAAACAAATTCTGTGAAAGGAATCAAATTAACAAGCATGGATAGATTGGAAGTCAACTCCTTCAACCAATCAACCACAAATAATCTTCAGGGGAAGCTAAATATTACATAAACTAAGAGAAGCTACTTTAGGTAAAGAAAATATGAACATTAAAACTTCAGGAAACTATCAAGCACTGTTAGAGCACTAACTAAATCCAGAGAAACAAGATCAAAAGATGAAAGGAAAATTTACTATAGTACATGAACGCCTGAAAATTACATTTAACAATAGAATGGTTCGAGAAAGAGAGCAGCGAAAAGATATTGAGGGTGTATTCAAAGGACAGAAACGAGGTGCAACTGTATACAAAAATAGTATAATTCTAACAAAATGTCTATTAGGTTCTCGAGATTGTCTTCATAATACAGCTACTGACACCTTATAAAAACTTAGGGTCCAAAACTACGAATCTTTGAAATTATCAAACTAGATTCTCTGCCCTTGAAAGCTCTCTTGTTCCTCTTTTCAAATAGTCCAAAATGTATCCAAGAGATTTAGTTCAATGAATTGATTCTCAATTTGCATACCCTTCAACGCCTATATCTCCTCCCCCACTGTACTTGTAATAGCCCAACTCAACCCTAATACGCTAGATGCCAAAGACCAAAGTTGATGCAGGAATGGATGCCAGAGGAGGATGCGATTACACGTCTCTGCACCACTTTTTCACAAGTGACACTCATTCACCAGAATATTTCCCCCTTCTAATCAAAATTTCTAAAGTAAGGATGTGTTCCCACACCGCTTCCCATGTGAAGAAAGCCACACTAGTAGTCGCCTTTACCTTCCGAATAATTTCTGATCGGAACTTATTACATGTGCTCCCTCTTTTAGCCAAGTGCCCGTGATATGACTTCACAAAGAAAGTCGATTTGAATTCAGAACCTAAATAGGTACAACTTTGGTTTCACCAGAAAACACCAATGGAGAAAGCAACTTGAGAAGATTATATATTCTTTAATCTCCCAACCATTCAAGTTTCTTATTAATTCAACAATCCAAGTGCCTCTGCCAGGGGACCCCAAGTAGACCTTGTTTATGGACATTGCTTTATCCTGGGCAATGGCAAAAATTGTGGGAAACTGCAAGTACAAATATCCTCTTACTGCCCAATCATCCTCCCAAAAACTCCGTTACCCCACTGGATTTTTCATATGATGCATTTGTTGAATTCATCTTTTGCCTCGCTGATGCCCTTCCGTACCCCAGAGCCAT